AAGTAAATGGAAATGGGCAGTATGGAGATTTATCCATTTGGAATATTCAATTCCCCTACTATTGTTGTGTTGTTACCTATTTAGCCCATCAGATCTGTTAGTATTTGCTCAATATATACAGGTGTTCCAATGGTGGGTGGTTATATATTAATATTCACAATTCTTGTATCATCTCGATGAACTGACCCCCTTTATCATTATACAATGACTTTCTTGGTCTCAAATTACCATTTTTGGCTTAAAGCCTATTTTGTCTGATATCGGTATGGTTACTCCTGCTCTCTTTCGTTTCCCACTTTCATGCAATACCTTTCACCATGCCTTCACTTTGAGCATGTGTATGACCTTAAACCTGAAGTGAGTCTCTTGTAGGCAGCAGTGCAGGTGAGCACTGTTTTTCGGTGTGTGTGTTTTTTTTTAATCAATCCATCCACTCTAATTCCTTTTGCTGGAGAACTAAATCCAGTTACATTTAGAGTAATTATCGATAGGTAAGGTTTTAATACTTAATGCCCCTATCCCTGTGGGGACCTAATTAAAATTAAAACCTTCTGTATAACTCAGGAAACTATAAGCAAGGTGAAAAGACAGCCTTCAGAATGAGAGAAAATAATAGCACATGAAGCAATGGACAAAGAATGAGTCTCAAAAATATACAAGCAACACCTGGAGCTCAATTCCAGAGAAATAAAAGACCCACTCAAAAAGTGGGCCATAGAACTAAGCAGGCATTTCTCCAATGAAGACATACAGATGGCTAACAAACACATGAAAAGATGCTCAACATCACTCATTATCAGAGAAATGCAAATCAAAACCACAATGAGGCATCACTTCACGCCAGTCAGAATGGCAGCTGTCCAAAAGTGTACAAGCAATAAATGCTGGAGAGGGTGTGCAGAAAAGGGAACCCTCTTCCACTGTTGGTGGGAATGCAAACTAGTGCAGGCACTATGGAGAACTGTGTGGAGATTCCTTAAAAAACTGGAAATAGAACTACCATATGACCCAGCAATCCTGCTGCTGGGCATACACACTGAGGAAACCAGAATTGAAAGAGACATGTGTACCCCAATATTCACCGCAAAACTGTTTTTAACAGCCAGGACATGGAAATAACCTAGATGTCCATCAGCAGATGAATGGATAAGAAAGCTGTGGTACATATTCACAATGGAGTATTACTCAAATATTAAAAAGAATACATTTGAATCAGTTCTAGTGAGGTGGATGAAAATGGAGCCTGTTATACAGAGTGAAGTAAGCCTGAAAGAAAAACACCAATACAGTACACTAATGCATATATATGGAATTTAGAAAGATGGTAACGGTAACCCTGTATGCGAGACAGCAAAATAGGCACAGAGGTATTGAATAGTCTTTTGGACTCTGTGGGAGAGGGCGAGGGTGGGATGATATGGGAGAATGGCATTGAAACATGTTACTTATCATATGTGAAATGAATCGCCAGTCCAGGTCTGATGCATGATATGGGATGCTCGGGGCTGGTGCACTGGGATGGGTAGGGAGGTGTGAGGGGTTTCAGGATGGGGAACACATGTACACCCATGGCGGATTCAAGTCAATGTATGGCAAAACCAAGAAAATGTTGTAAAGTAAAATTAATTAATTAATTAATTAATTAATTTTTTAAAAGGTGAATCATCATTGTGAAAGTCAGGCTGGCAGATACCTCAAGAGGACTAGGGAGGAAGAACTGACAGGCTTGGAACAAAACGGGGGTTCAAACCTAGAGGTCTGTTCTTCATCTGCATCTGAGCAGTACTTCCCAGGACTCCAATATTGCACAAGCACAAGGGCACCAAGAACACCACAGTCATTCAAGCACTGGGACAGCCCAGGGACGGGGATAGTCAAGGTGGAAAATATGGCAGCCCCAGTGTGCCCGGGTGGATCTGGCCAATGCAGGTGAGACTTACCTCACATTAAGTCAGCTGAGTAGCAGCCTTTATTGCATCTGCAAGCATAACCAACTGTGACCACGCAAAGGAAAATACAAGCCAACTGCAGGGATTAGGACTTGGACAATTTGGGGCAAGATTACCGTGCCCACCGCTCGAGGTTCCCTCTTCAGGACTCACCTACTCTACCTTCTTTGTTTGTGCCAATCTCCTTCAAGAGTCCAGAGAGAGGTAGACCTGGGGCTGGTGCCGGTGGGGTGTGGGTGTGATGAGGAGGGAGCATCTTCCCAGGCGTTGGACAGGCAGCAGAATCAGGCAGGATGGGGCCTAGGGACCTCCAAAGCAGCTGTCGCTGTCTCCCAGGCTGGAGAAGGGGCATGAGGGGGAAAGGCAACAGGGGTGCACTGAATGAGGCCGAGCTTCTACATTACTCCTACCCCCCGGGGCCCAGATGGATTTCTTTAACCTATGCCTCAGGCCCTGCCACGGATTTCCCACTGGAACTAGAACGCTTGGGGCTGAGCCAAGGCCTGTGATGTCCATGTTTCCAGCAACATTATAGTGAGGTAGTTGGTCTGAACTGTGTGCTCAGAGGAGGGAAGGGAGCCTGGTAAAAAGTGAACGAGGGGTTGTGTTCACGCCTTCGCACCTCCACTTCCATGAGCTTCTCCACTTCCTCACCCTGGTGACCACAGTCTGGGGCCCCTCTCTCCTCAAGGGTGGTGCTGATGCTGGTGCTGGTCTTCTCCCCGGGCACAACTTACCTACATGTCTCAGTGGGCAGAGACCTCAGCCAGAAGGTCTCTTCCAAATTTACTCACTCGGACAACAGCGAGATGGGCTACACCACCAGGCAATAATCACTGGATCAGCTGTAGACTAAATGATCAAGCCCACCTGATCCGGGGAGGGTACTGATTGGAATGAGTAAGTCCCACGCATGTTCTTTTCTGACCCTGAGGTCTCTGATGGTTCCAACACACACGTAGTCTGTCCACCTGGCCTCATGCCAAGGGGCCTGGAAGGGAATGAACGTGAGAATAGGGGGAAGTGCTCCCTATTGTCCAGGTGCAGTCATTCCTAACTTCACTTCCTCAGGGCACCCTTCTTGCCCCTGCCGCGGGTAACTCATGTTGGGCAGTCTCCTATTTCTAAGATGAGCAGCAGTCCCATTTTCATTCATCCACACCCTCAGCAGTTGGCAGATATTACAGAATGGCAAGGGAGGATCCAGAGCCTCCTCCAGCGACTCCAACTCTGTGAGAGTCCCAACACCCTGTCCTGAAGCTTGGTGACCCCTGCATCATCCCCCTCCTACGTTTTGGGAATGTGAAAACACCCCTCGAACATTGGAGATCCGACCCTTGCTTCGGCTCACTCAGTGCCTTACAGAATCTGGACCAGTCTCTACTTACTTCTCTCCCCGAATCACATGCTTATGCCTCAAGGGCATTATCCTTGCTGACTTTTATTCACACAGAGAGATGTCCAGGCACCAACTCTGAATGTGCTACCTACCATCATACCCCCTTCTGTGTAATAAAACCCTGGTCTTTCAGGAATGGTGTCAGGCAGAACCTACCCTCAGTTCACACCAACACAGATCTGTCTCTCTGAGTCTCAGGCTGGCACAGGCCTGGAGTGCTGGCTGAGGGAAAGGAAGTGCTCCCCAAATTCCAGCGAGGGGGAAATTGAACACAGAGTTCAGACTCATTGTCATGTGCCCTAAAGAAGTAGTCTGGGATACTGAGCTGGGATACTCTGGGAAATATCATTTGTTGGAAGATCTGTGACATGGGTCTGGTGGAACAGTATTTGACAGGGACCCTGCAAGAACAGAGACCTACTAACCACACTTGCCATAGAGCATGATGGGCCCATTTCCACTCAAGGGTACAGAGAGGCTCAGGCTGGAGGCGAGGGTGGTCAGCTGGCTAGGGCAGGGAGGATGTGAAAACACAAAGGACGCCACCATCCATCTCTAACAGCCAGGGTGCAGTCTGACCCAGGTTGCCACCAAACCGATGCATCTCCTGACCTCCAGCCCAGAGACTAGCCTGTCTCCTGTGTTCCCTGTACCTTCCCTCCTGCTCCCCAGCTCACTGGGTCCAGGCTTCATGCCAAGTCCTTTACTGAATCCAAAGAAGGAGAAGCGAAACTACTGGTGCCTGAGTCTCAGGGGTGCGGGCTGAAGAGGAGAGGAGGACTGTGTGCAGGTTCCAGCGTGCAAGGTGGGACTGGGGCGGGGGTGGAGATGGTACAGGCAGTGGGGACTCCAATGAGAGGGCAGAGCTTGGGAAGGGAGAGATGAGGGCACCTGTGCCTGTTTCCACCTGCTGAACTACACATGCACGCAAGGTCACCAATGGCAAGTCAGGGGAGGGATCGAGGGTGCTCCAACAGGAAAAGAGAGTGGTCAGGGTAAGTAGAACAATGAGTCCAGAGCGGCTGGGAGGATGGGTTGGAGCTCTGTAAGGGGGTCAAGAGTTCCTTCCAATGGGGAGGCAGAATGTCAGCAATGGATGGCAACCGGCAAATCCCAGAGGAGGGTGCTTAGAGAACTAGAAGAGGGCCTTTAGGGGACTGGGAGGATGTGCCAATGTGGCCAGACAAGGCCCTCAGTGAACCCAGCCCGGGGTCACTCCATTGCCCTGCTGGCCCGGTTGGTAGCAGAGGCTGACCCAGAGTCCCCAACACAGAGGTAATGCTCTACAACTGGCTATATAATATGGAGTGGCTCTCCACCAGGCCTTGCCCCACTCCACCAACCCCTAACCCCCAGAGAGAGGGCAGAACACAGAATATGAGAAGTCCTTTAATCAAAAACTGCTGTGAGACTGGGGCAGAGAGGGGGCAAAACAAGGGGCAGAGGATGCCCTGGCGGAGGCAGAACAAGAGGCAACAAGCCTGGCCGCAGCTCGGCAGCCCCAGAGGTAGCAGCTGCTCCTCTTGCAGGAAGATACTGGGCTCAACCTGTAAAACAGCAGAATCAGGGAAGAGCCTCAAGCCAGGGCCAGCCCACAGCCCTGCTCAACAGCCAACGTTGTGGGAAGAGCTATGCAGTGTGTAACACTCACTTCAAATGATCTGGAACTTGTCAGCCAGGTACCGCTTGGAGGCTGCAACAGGGAGAGGCATAAACAGGTGCTCCAGACAGACGGACATAGACGCCTGAACCCCTGTCCCCGTGGAGAACCACCTAGCCCTGCAACCTGAAACCCACATACCCCCAGCCCCGATGCAAAGAGCTCTGGGCCTGATCACTCCCCACTACCGGAATTAAATGTGGAGCCATTTCCTAAAAGGAAACAAAATGTGCCAGCAGCTCTCAAGCTCGGGGCCACGCCCGAACCTTTCCAAAATTATCTCGCAAACAATCCAACAAGACCCTTAAGAGGCCAAACCAGGTCAACAAGGCATCTCTACAAGTCCTATCAGAAGGAGCTCTCTAGGACTCAGCTGGCCGGCAGAGTGTGCATGCAGTCCGCACAGTACTTTGCTACTTGTCCGCATGCCCAGCTGAATATGCACCACACGCTCCAGGGACAGGCTTCATAGGTTCTCCTCCCCACAGGAATGCTGATCGCTACGAGGCCCCCTGCACCTGCAGCCCACCCCACCCCACGGGCCCACCCCGATTCTGCACTAAGAACCCGCTTCTCTCTGTCCCTGGTTCCTCATACCAAGTTGCTTCTTTAGGTCATCTATTTCTCTCTGTAGCACCAGACACTAGGCCAACAGACACAGGAAGAAGAGAAATGGTTAGTATACACCCACCTCCCTTCTCCCCCTCCTCTCCTCTCCCCCGGGCCCTCCATCCCAAAGCCAGGTGTCCAGACTGGCAAGCAAAAGACTTTCCTCCATGGAAAGGAGGTGGGCTCCCTCCTTGCGGTGCAGGATGGGATGGGGGTGGGGGGCCCACACATGTCAGTTGCACTTGGACCCAGATCCCACCATGGGGCTTGGGTGTGTATTTCCAGGAGCCAGAAGAAGCATTACCCGAGGACAGCCCTGCCGTCCGCGTGGCTGCTGCTGCCTTTTCGGTCTTGGGGGATGGTCACTTGGTTCCTGGCCACCTGACAGGGAAAGGACACACAATCCAGCTTCCCAGGTACCCAGTGAGGTGGAAAGGCCCAGGCCGGGTCTAACGTGAGGTGAGGCAGTACCACCCTCTGCCTAGCATTAGGCCTCCCCTGATCTGCCCGGCAGGCAGCCGAAACCTTCTCTCTGGGCCTGCCCCTCTTATTCCACAGGGGCAGCCATTTCACCACGATGGTCGCCAAAAACTGTGGTTCTGGGTTCGAGCCTCCCAGAGCAGCAGCCACAGCCAGCACCTGAGAGAGCAATGTGGGCGAACAGCACTTCACAGAAAAGGCTATTAGCGTGCAGGTCTACGCCCAGAGTAGCTGTTGGGGCACTGCCACCAATCACCCCTGCCAAACAAATCCCACACAGAAGGGGATGAGGCCAGGTCCAGCCCTGGTGACACCCTGTTTCTCATGGGAGAAGCGGCCTGACAGCAAGGCTGAGCCCCCAGATGAGAGAGAGAGAGTCACAGACAGAGGTTTCTGCCCTCACCCCGGGCCTCCTCCCCTCATATCAAAACCCAGGACACTCACCTGAGGGGCCAGGCCCTCCGGGCCTGACTTCTCCCTTGTTCATGGCCACGGGCTCGGAGTTTTCTGAATCCTGTGCACCTCGGATGTTGAGGTTGGCGCTGCTGGGTTCTCCATGCTGCACCCATGGACAAGATGGCCCTGGCCTGCCAGTGGTCAGCTAAAAACAAAGATTTCTCACTGATCTGGAGTAAGGATGTGTGTGTGCATGCGCATGTGGGTACCAGTGCATTGATAATCTATGCCTGTGTGTGTGAGAGCTCACGTGATTCAAGACGGAGCTGAGACAGGGAACTGGAAAGAGAATTGAAAGGCTGATCGCTTCAGCACATTCTCTGTCAGTCAGCCCCAGGCCAGCAGGCTGAGCTGAGCTGGGGACAGCAGTGTGGCACTGAGAAAGCCTGGGGCCCCTTCAAGGAAGTTTTGGGGAAGAGCTAGGAAGTAGGATTCAGGAAAGGGATGTGTCTAAACTCCGAAGCCCTGTGAAGCTTTTAAGGGGTCCCCTCAAATCAATTCAGCTACCAGCTCTCCCTTCCATTCCAGCAGCAGCCTGGTGGAGGAGGCCGGAAACAGGCCAAGGGTGGAGAACTGAGTCCAGCACACCCAAAGTGCTACCTTATCGTTTGTCCCTAGTGAAAGGACCCCCAATCTGGCATCCTAATGACCCAGCGACCGGGGGCCACCCAATGACGACCCCTGAGGGATGGAGAGACGAGCAAGGGACGAAGACCTGTGCCCTGGGGAGGGTGGGAGGGGGAAGAGTGGGGAGAGAGGAGGGGACTGGCCTACTCACTTGGCCCTTTGGGAATGGATCTCTATTTGGGTCCTTCTCTTCTCCCGACACCGCCATTGCTGCCATCGACCCCCAGGCGCGCCTAGCGACGGGTTTCTTCCCAGCGCCAGTGTGCTTGGACTCTTCGGCTCCCCAAAGGACCAAGGCATACTTCTTGGACCCCCCGAGCAGCGGGATGCCGGAGATTGGGGGGAAGGTGGCCGGTTCCAGGGGAGTGGCCGAGATTCCCTGCCCCCAGGAAGGGAAGGTTCTCCCCACGGCAGGTTTGGAGACGCCCCCAAGGGATTTCTTCTCCTGGACCCCCTTCCTCCTAGGAGTGGGCCGCGGCCCGCTGCCTGTAGTGGCAGCTGCACGAGCTGATGCTAATGCTACTCTCGGGTAGCTGGGCAGGCTGCCCCCTTCCCCCCAGAGCACACTCTGCATTTTCTTAGGGGGAGAGGCATCCTCCTGCTCTGCATCGCCCTGCCTGCCCTGCCTTTCCACAACCGAAATTAATCCTGGCGGCGCCAAGGACAGGCGAGTGCCTGGCACGTTAAGGAGATCCTCCCTGCCTTGGAGATTCGAGCATCTGGGTGTGTTCCCGGGGTCCTCGGGTCTGTTGAGCTTGGCCTGGCCTCCGTCTTTGGGATAATTGCTCACCCTCATCAGCTCTATCTCACTGAACTCATCAGAGGACTCGGGATCGGACAGCAGCCCTGCTGGGCTTTCTGAGGGAGGCCACTGGCGATCCACAGCCACGTTCAACCTACTCTTAGTGCCTCTCTTAGCGCTCCCGCAGGCCCGGCCTGCCTTGGGCCCGCCGACCCGGAGAGGGATGGCCTCAGCCTGTGCGGTTTCCCCACACCTCTGGGGGGCACCGCCTCGACTGGGGGGACACGCCTTGAGGTCCCAGAAAGCAGCCACTTCACCAACCGCGTAGCTCTCCTGGAACAGGTATCTGCGGGTGCCCAGCACGTTCAGGTCGGTCAGCTGCTGCAGGGTGGCCACCACTGACTTGTCAGCCAGCTGCAGGGCGTCCCCCTGGTCGTCAGCCAGGGAGCCAGGCCGGCCTTCGCGGCCCCGCAGCACTGGCCCTCCCACTTCCAGCACCTCCCGCTCTGTCTTGAAGCCCTCAGCGTCTGGGAAGCCATTCCCGCCCTCACCCTCGCTGCTTCGCGGTGCCCCTGGCTCGGGGCTGGGGCCGGGGCCGGGGCCGGGGCCGGGTCCCCGCGGGGCTGTGGAGCCGGCCTCAAGGCCGCTGGTCTGCTCTCCGCACTCTGAGCCGAAACCCGCTCCCGAAACAGACACCTCATCATCTGGGGCGCTCATGTCACGATCTGGGTGGCCGCCGGACCTGGGGCGGCGATGATTTATCAACCGGGTCGCGGTGGCGGCGGTGGTGGCGCTCAGGGCAGGTGAGGCGGCCGGCGTCTGGAGCTCGCCGTCAAGCACGCAGGAGATAGCCGCAAATGACGCGAGGTTTTCAGCGCGCCAGCCCTGCCGCCTCCTCATTGGTCCGGTTCCTGCCAACCAGCACGCGCCTTGTTGGCCGTCCCCTCGAGGTGTAACCAATGGGTTCGAGGGCCTCCTCTGGCTTGCTGCCAAGCCCAAGGGCCATCCCGGCAGTTGGCGAGTTGGCGGGTGAAGGTGATGCTGCGAGTATACCTCTGTCAAGCCTCTCGTCCCACCTCCTCCAAGTGCTTAACCATTCCGAGAGTGGGAGAGTTTAGGGGCAAACCTCTGTGGCGGTGGTGCAAGAAATCCATTCGGGAGGTAATTTGGCAGAATCTATGAAAAGCAACTTATACAGCAGAGACCTCATGCCCGGCACTCTTCTAAGTGCTGTACGTAAATAGTAGTGCTTCCTTGTGACACTCCCAGGACTATAGTACTAATGATTACCAGCCTAAGTTTCAGCCACTGACCCATGGTCATTTGGCCCATGGGGATCAGTGGTAGAATTGAAGCCAAGCAATCTGACTCCAGAGTCCTTGCTTTGATCCAAAGATCTAAAACAGCTATGTTTTCCCCTCTATCGGGAAGTTCACTGCCAGGCATATCTTCTAAAAGTGAGGGTTTATTTCTAAGATCTCTATTTTACTCCATTGGTCTATTTGTTTATATGGCAGTAACACACAGTTTTCATTAGTGTAGCTTTGTAATGTTTTGAAATCAGGAAGTGTGAGTTCTCTACTTTTTCTTTGTCCAAGTTGTTTTCCCTATTAAGGATCTCTTTAGATTCTACTTAAATTTTAGGGCGAGTTTTTCTATTTCTGTAAAGCATGCTATTGGGACTTTGATAGGGTTTGCATTGGATCTGTAGATCACTCTGGGTAGTGTGTTACAAGAACAGATCCAGTGGAGTGTGTGTGTGTGTATGTGTGTGTGTGTGTGTGTGTGTAAAATAATTGCCTCATTCAATTATAGCGGCTGGTAAGTCCCAGGATCTAGAGGGTGAGTTGGCTACCTGGAGACCCAGAGGAGCCAGTGGTTTAGCTCTAGTCCAGGTTAGAAGGCCTAAGAACCAAACCAGTAGAGTTGATATATCAGTTTGGGTCTAAAGGCAGGAAAAGAAGCCAAAGTCCCACATCCAAAGGCTTTCACACAGGAGGGATTCTCTTACATGAGGAAAGGTTGCCTTTTTTTTTTTTTTCATTTATTTTTATTAGTTGGAGGCTAATTACTTTACAATATTGTAGTGGTTTTTGTCATACATTGACATGAATTAGCC